CCTGGATCCAGATCCTGTCCCTGTCCCTAGATGACTGTGCGACTTAGGGAGCTTGCAACCAGGCTGTTCGTGCATTCCTGTTTCCTTTTAATACCTACATTTTGAAAACCTATCTATCCACCCTTGGTAAGTGCTGAGAATACAGGCAAAGGAAATCATCGTGCAGCTTTTCTCTTCAGGAGAAGGCAGACATCTGTTGCAAGCCGAATCCTGTGGACTTGTACTGACCCACCTACAAAATAAGTAAAGGAGAAATACTATTTTCTGTATCACAAGCATCTCCTGAGGCTTGAAAAGAAGTGCACGAGGATAAAATGGTAAAGCATTGTGCAGACAGTTCAGATATGGGAAGAGGAATGTAAATTTGTTAAGTCCCTGCTATACGCCAGGAGCTGTGTGTGAGCTTTCTTTTGCGGATATAACCATATTCCATGAGACAGTGCTATGAGCTGAGCTTTATTATGCCATTTTGCAGACGGATAAATTGAAGTTTGCAAAAGGCAACAAGAGGGTCATGTTATGTAGTGTTAGTAAGTATGTGTCGAGAGCATTCCTCATGCTGGGTACCGGCTGCCCAGGATGACGGGCCTTAGGAGCTGAGCCTGACTCGGGGCTGTTTTATGCTGCTACTCTCTAGAAGGGAAGAGGGGCCGTGAAGGAGAAAGTACGGGTGTGATGAAAAATGCCACCCAAGGACCGAGACGCTGAAAGTCCCTCAGAGGGGAAAATCCTCCCGTGAGACCTGATGAGGAAATTGGCATTAGCAAGACAAGGAGAGTAGGGTGCTCAGGATGGAGCAGAAAGGACGGTGAGGATGGGGACCAGAGCCCAGGAAAGAGAGGAGGGAGACCAGAGGTGGCCCAGGGCACCGTGATCAATACACAGGCCACAGGAAGGGTATGGATTTGCTGGCAGAGGGTTGAGGAGCCTCTGAGAAGGCGAAAGTGGGGAAAAGACAGGAGATCAATTAGGATCCCGATCCAGCCTTCTTGGTGGGAGGTTCTGGTGGGGATGATGGGAGTGGAGACAGTGGAGCCAGCAAGAAAGTGCGGAACCTTCTGTAGGGATCTGGGACACTTCCCAGGTGTGTGCCCTACAGACAGGAGGGCCCAGTAGTGCCATTTGCGGCCCACACTCCAGCCATGCCGGAATAGACTGAGATCCTGTGAAAAAGGTGAGGAGTAACCTGTGGGAACAAGCAGGCAACACACAGTCCATGAGGAACAGGAGGCTGACAGCGACACTCGGGTGGAGGGCAGGAGGGGAGAGGAGGAGAGGTAGGGAGCAAGAGGACAGGCTGGCCTCATTCACTCTGGAAGGTAACCCAGTGGCCCAGGGGATCAGATCCTAGCCTTTGTGAACTGAGTCCTCTCCCAGGACAACACTCTCTTTTTCTGAGGATGCTGAGGCTGGTGGTCTGAGTACCAGCTTCTGTCACCAGGAGGAGAGGAGAGCTCAGATTCCCATCTTGAGAAATCACAAGGATTGCTCCACCTCAGGACACCAAGTGAAAATGGCAGGTGGATTTGGTTATATAAAGGTTTCCTTTTTCCCCAAAAGTTATTTTTCCCCAGGAAGGAACTGAGTGTGTGGGAGGTACTCTTTGAGTCCCCCATTTCTGAAAACATCAATCCTCCGTTCATCCCTTTATCAGGGGCTCTGATAGGCCTCTTAAAAGGCAGGCATCCTCCCCCACTCCCCAACCCCCCACTCACTGCCAGCGTTTCTTTTGTGGCTAGAATCCCCAATCTGAACAAACAGTGCTCTGCTGGCTGTCATCTTTATTTTTTTCTCTGGGATGTGTCTAGCTCCAGGCCAGCTGGGCCACACTTTGTCCCCATGAAGACCATTCAGTGGAGGACACAGCAAGTGAATAGGGCCCACTAATTGGGTGAATAGGGCCTCCTATCTCTGTCCAGGCTTTCTGATCTCTCTCCACCCAAGCCAGGGGCGTCTCGCTGGTGCACTTCTCCCTGAGTGACACATTGGCTCTTTGGAGATTCCAGTGCCTGATTCCATCAGCCATCCAGAGCCTGTGTACTTTGGAAAGCCTGTGGGAAATTCAGCAGTCTTCTAAAGATATAGATTACCTGCACATCTGTCAGGGTTTAGTTAAACATGACTGACTAATTTATCCTGCCGTGTGAGACGGGGATTCATTTCCTTTGCAAGTTGACTTGGCAATTTTCTCTGCTCAGAGAACATTTAGAATAGATGGTGTGCATGGCAATTGAGAAGAAATAGATGCTATTAATTTTCCATTTTCAAATGTGAGATTGACTCTAGAGCCCACATCCCACTCCCATCAGGAAAACAGACCACATCCTCTCTTGATTTGGGCTGCTTGGCATCTGAAGAGTCATGAAAGTGAGGGCTCTATCCCGAGCTTCCAAGTTGGGGCTGTCAGTCAGCGTGTCCGTGTGGATCTGCTCCTGGGGTGAGCCCATGAGTCCCGGCCCCTTCCTGGCTGTGTGCGTGGCTTAGCAGAAGATTCTGGTTCCCGGCTTGAACAGGTATGGGATCTTCTTCCTCAGCCCCTCTTTACACACCAAAGGTGGCAGGGTAGTGGGGGAGCTGGGGGAGGCATTCCCCTGAGCAGTTGAGCATCTGCCTCTTGGTTTGGCCTCAGGTCACATGATCTCTCTCCCCCTCCCCCATGCGCATATGCACCCGCCCACTCTCTCTCTAAAACACACCAACACAATTGAAAAACACCAAAGGGGAGGAGTAGAGGTATCAGATATTAGGATATCATAAAGAACCTCCAAAAAGTTGGAGTTCCCAAAGGGATAGCTGATGTCATCCGCTATCTTCCGGCACTTGGGAAACCCTCTGTAGCTGTGCTGTCCCCCATGGCGTTCCCCCCCCCATGACTGTTTGGCACATGATGGGGGTGGGTGAGATCAGAACACTGCATTTTAACTATTTTACTTACGTAAATTATTGTTCATATAAATAGGCACATCTGGCTAATGGCAACTGGACTGGATCGTACAAGTATCCATTCTCCCCAGTCTCTTATGCGGACAAAGCCAGTTTTGTGCAGGCGCATTTGTCTTCCTGTTTTCTGAGTGCTGTGATGAGTGCTCTGCGCGTACCTGCAACCCCTCCATTACATCGTAGCTGGCGCACGCCGAACAATTGTTATGTGCCATGTTCTTTGTAAGTCCTTCACATACTTGGTCTAACTCATGGCCACGTAGTGGTATCCTGGGTTTATGGAGGGGGACACCGAGGTGCTGAGAAGTTGAGACTTGTGGGGTCACCCAGCCAGGCAGTGGTAAAGCTGGGAGTCATTCCAGGTGCTGTGAGCCCAGAGTTCTTATGCTCTGCGGCCAGTGAAGACAGTTCTGGGTACCATTTCCTGGCTGGTGTCTTAAGGTGAATCATGGCCCGGTTGTCAAAAGCAAGGCTAAGTATCTTGAGGTCCTTAATAGCATGCATATAAAGAATGCGTACATTCCATGCCTGGCAGGGTGTAGATCTGGGTCCCGACTGGAATGAGGAGAGTGGTTGGGAGAGTGGTTAGGGGAGCACTAACACTCCACAGACCCAGCCTGGGTCTGCTTACCAACTCCCGCCCCCACAATGGAGAGTCAGAAAGACCTTTACACCCGAGGTCTGGGAAGTTTGGCTCTGTTGTTGGTCAAGTTCCAAACACCAGGCTAACTAAAGGTGGGCTTTCTTAAAAGCAAAAATGTAAAATGTAAAATGTAAAAATGAGGGGAAGATCTGTATGATACTATTCTCGTCTTTGGGAGACAGACAGGGGCTGATGCCTTCAATTCAGTGAGAGTATGCATTGACTGAAGGTTGGACTGGACTTTTGGCAAGACTGTCTACTCATTCATCATTGGCCCCATGTCTTTCAGTAGAGAGCCTGACGCTGGCAGTCTCTCTAGACCGGTAGAGTCCAGCCTTAATCTACATCCCATCAGCTCTGTAAGATATTCAGGACTTGGCTCTGCTTTTTAATGGTGTTTTGCTTGGCTTCTGTGCTGTCTCCTGTAGGTTTAGAATTTGGGAAAAGCAACTGTTCTGGGTTTGTGTCTTTGTCCCTTCTTATTGGGATTTTGGTCCCTTGGGTTTCCAGTTTCTTACCCTCCAGATGCCAAAGGCTGGTTTGTCTGCCTCTTGTCACTGTCTGGACCCTCATCAGGATTCTTTATACCCAGAATTAGGTTAATATGTGGAATGAGGATGTATCAGCCCCATTTCCAACACCACTGTTCCTCCTTTGGGGATTTTCCCCCTCAAGCCTCACTTCCGCACCCTCGGAGACCTTCACAGAGTATGCACCCCTCTACCCAAACATCCCATTTTGGGTTTCTTCTTGTTCTCAGAAGCAGTATTCCTTGGCTCCAGTTCCTATCATCTACCCTAAAAGGTGAGCCTCATAGTCAGAGATGGGCTGTGTGCCAATAGAAAGGACTCTTGCGTGAAGGTGGCATGCATCTCTCTCTAGGGGAAAGTCAAGTCAGCCTGCCACGAGGCCAGCAGCATAAGCCATGCGCGCAAATCCCAACCTTGGGCTAAAGCAAAATTGATTGTTGTTATTGGGAACTCTTGGTGTGCCAGGCAGCCTCTCGCTGAAAACATCGACTCTTCCTGAGTGTTGATCTCTTGGCATGAATTTAGTGGAAAATACGATCTCCAGCAAACTGTACTAGCGAGTTCTGTTGGGTTAGCAAGAGAGATCTGTTAGTCTTTGGAGGCCAGTTGCACAACTGGGAGACTTAGCATTTGTTTTACCAGCTCGGAGGCAGTCCAGATTCAGTTCTGAGCAATGCTGCTTACCCCAGGGAGTCCCGGCTTTCTGTCGTGCTCCTTCCCTGTGACTGCAGCATCTTTGGGTGGTTTTCCAAGCGTGGGGAAAGTGCTGCACTGCGCTTGGAGAGGGGGGTTAGTGTTGAGCATGGTTCTGCAGGTGGCATTGCATGTTGAGAGCTAACAAGAGGAGAAAGTCGGACTCACTGTTTCTTCCTTTTGCTTTTCTGCAGCCTGCACAGATAAGGAGTTGAGGAACCTCGCATCCCGCCTGAAAGACTGGTTTGGAGCCCTTCACGAGGATGCCAACAGGATCATCAAGCCCACCAGCTCTGATGCAGCCCAAGGCAGTAAGACCACTTTGCTCTCACTAATTTATTCCATTTTATGCACCACATTTCCTTAGTTACTAGACAGTGTTGATTTAACAGTAGCCTTTTGGTGTAATCAAAGAAACACTATGTCAGATGCACACCACTTAAAATATTTTCTTGATTCCCAAGCATTTCCCCCTCCTGCATGAAACAACTTAATTTTTAAAAGTCTGGCTACAAAACTCTCGTGTATTTAGGATAGAGACTTTGGAAAATACAAAAAGCTATTTAAAAATTCACCACTTTAACCACCATAAGCATGTTGTGGCATATACTTGAAGTTTTTTCCTTGCCACACAGGAGAAAAAAATCCGTGTCTTTGTACATGCATACAGTACACACCGCACCGTCTGTCTGACGATCGTCAGTCACTCAGCAGCATGCTCTGGCCTCCTGTGTTGAGTAGTGTTGCACTTTGTCATAGCCACCGAGAATTTCAAGTTACAGACAGAATGTATGTAATTAGACCTCGATTTTGGAGCACTGAAGTCGTTCCTAATGTTCAGCTCTTATAAGCAACTCTACCGAACATCTTCGATAATGTCTCTCCTCCTCCATCAGTGCGTTGGCAGAGCCCGTATTCAGAGCCTCTTCATAAGCTAAAGAGAAAACTCAGAGTGGGCCAGCGTTTTTGTACCTTGAAGGACTCTCTCGTTGTCTTGAACTCAAAAATGATGAGCAGTAGCCTTCTCCATGCTGTGGCCCATTCGCTCAGAATGACTTCCCAACGACACAGTTGTTCAAATATCTGGACTTTGGCAACTGTTGGGATCCAGAGCTCAACCGCTCTCTGGTCTTTGGCCAGAGTCGGAATGATCATCTTAATTACAGGTTATTCTTTGTGGCTGGTAGCTGTAGATACTGGTAGAGAATACTGATCTAGGGGACAATTCTTTTGCTAGTCTGGATGTTACAGTTTAAGGGAAAGATAGTGTCCGCTTCTCAGGATCTAAGTATCCACAGAGTGGTTTCAGGTGGTTGAGTCTATGGGAAAGAAGGAGGAAGATAGTTTCTTCTTCCATTCTTGCCTTCCTCCTACCATTCCTGCCGAGGCTTCCTTGGAAGTTTGTGGACAATTAATTCACAGATGGTCTAGAGGAACTTCTCCTGGGGATCTTCCTGGAGCAGCCAGGCCTTTGGGCTTTCTGAACAACCTTTCCAGGAAGAGCAGATGGCTGTGCAGAGAGTAGCTCCTTACACCCTCCAGCCCCATGAGACTCCTTCTGCAGACAGTTGGTGAGCTAGCAAAAGACCTGCCCTTGGCCAGAAGCAAATTGAGTCCCCAAAGAGGCTTTTAGGTTTGATGTCCTGAAGCAACTGCAGTGAAAGGAATAAAAAGGAGCAAGGCTTGGTTAGCCCATAAGGCCATAGGAGGGAGAGATGTTTTTATCAGTTCAGGAGTTATGAAGAGGAAATCATGGGGCATTAGAAATCCCACCTGCTTGGGGGCAATTAGAAGGGCTGTGTTCTGTTCCGCCCTCCACTTCTAGATACCAGATGCAGGTGCCTTTTCCTTAGAACTTTCCAAATGGGTGTTGGGGAGGTGGGGCTTGACCTTCAGACTACTGCCCGACCAGCATGGCATGTCTCTTGGCTGGTCAGTGAGCAGTGAGCTTCTCTTGGTCATGTATTAAAATGTTAATGTCCTATAAAATTGATGCATATTATGTAAAATATTCCATCTAAAATAGTGGAGCCTTTTAGTGTCAGAGTAAATGATCTTGCTTTACTCAGCAGCCCCTAAGGACATCCCCATCATAGAGATGGTTCAATCATGACCTTCAAAGAAGAGGCCACATGATGTCCCCTAGTATCCCTTGAGAAGGGAATGTTTTCTAAGACATGTTATAAGGTGTCAGTGGGAATAAATTTTAAAACTGATTTTTATGTTTGAAGGGCCAAACTCTGCAAGAGTTAGAGAACTTCTTTCAACATCTGCTTTCACTAAGCCCTTACTACATGGCTGCATGGGCCGAGGCTACTCAACATGGTGTTTGCCCTCAAGGAGCTTAGCATCTGAGGAACATGAACTGACAGTAAGGGGAAGCAGAGGGTTCTGGAAGAGCTCAGAGGTGGAGGTGCTACACTTATTTCACTGGTTTCTGGACAGTGAAGACCCTTTTGTAGGAAACCAAGGCTTTCAACAGTTGGTAGTGTGCACAGAAACCTGCTGAGCAGGGAGTGGGCAGTCAAGCCCATCAGGGCCTCAGCTGTGGCTGCTGTATCCACCCCTCCCTGCACAGCCCATCCTCAGGCATGGCCCCCATGCCGGCTGGATGTCCTCAGGGTAGGAGGATCATGGGAGGCACAGGCAGCCCCAGGAGAAAAGGGACTGAGAATGTAGACTCAGGCCTGGGGCACCTGCCTGGGAAGCCCAGCTCCACAATTAGAGGATCTTGAGCAAGTCACTTAAGCCTTGAGCTTTTCCCCTCCATCTGTAAAGTAGAAGGAATACAGTGTTTTAGAGGCTTCTTGGAAGGATTCAGTGAGATAATTAAAAATAAGGGGCTTAGAGGACTACCTTAAATAACAGAGAAATGAACTTTTATAGTAATTTTCCTGGGAAAATAAAACCATTTCTACCAATCCAACTTATGGAACAACCTGAAAGTGCATAGTGCTTTTGATTCTGAAAGCAAGACCAATTTTAGATTTGGGGCAGGCCTTCTCTGGGGGTTGTCTACAGTAGACTCAATATCCTGAGTGTTAAGCAAAGTGTTATTATTCTAGTGCGTATAGTTCCCATTGTGGAAACAAATAATTCTTTAAGAAAACTACCCCTCCTCCCCCAGGGAAATAAGAAAGAAATTATTGTCTGAGTCAATTTGGATTCCATATCATATATCTCTTGAGGGGACGGTAGAAAAGAAGAATGGGGAACAGAGGCAGATACCTGGCTAGTTTTCCCATTAATGTTCAGACAGCTTGGATTTAACAGTCCTTTGGGACATAATCAGTGCTTCTGGATTGTGCTATATAGTTTCATTTCACTGCCATCTTTTTTTTTTTTTTTTTAACAATAGTTTCTTTTGTTTTGGTGATTCAGGTATTTTCCCCTAAATACAAAAGTGTAGTTTGCAGAATTACAAGTTTTTCCTTTTACTCACCAGGTTTATATTCTTCCTTTTGGGCATACCCTGTTTTAAGCAAGTCTGGTAAATGAAAACTCATATTTACATCCCAGATAAATTAGTGTGGGGGACTTGTTCCCTTTGGGACATAATTTCCTCAAATGCTGACTTCTGTTTAAGAGCATTTTAAAATATTTTATTTAAACCCCTACTCCAATATTAGTATCTTCTAGTAGGGTGCCCCTGAGACTCACCCTTGGAGGGTAAGTGCCTCAGGAGGGGAGTAGGCAGTGGGGGGGTCCTGGGCCTCCTCGTGTCAGCCCAGATCAGGCTTAATGGCCGCTGAGATACACCCTTCTCTCTGCAGGATTTGACACCAGCATCTTGCCCATCTGCAAGGACTCCCTGGGCTGGATGTTCAACAAGTTGGACATGAATTATGACCTCCTGCTTGACCACTCAGAGATCAATGCCATCTACCTGGATAAGTATGAGCCCTGCATCAAGCCTCTCTTCAACTCCTGTGACTCCTTCAAGGATGGCAAGCTCTCCAACAATGAGTGGTGCTACTGCTTCCAGAAGCCTGGAGGTGAGGTGGGGGGCGGGGGGGTGGGGTGGTTCCTGATGCTCAGGGCAGCCACACTGGGCGCCGAAGTCCTGTGTATCACATACTAGGGAGGCAGGTGGAAGTCATCAAGCCAAAGGACATGGCTAGAGAGTAAGCAGTCAGCTGACAGAATGCCAGACCCAAAGGCTCTTTTCTTCTCACTTTATTTTTATCATTGTATATTAGAAAACCCAAGAGCATAACGAAAGGGCCCATTACCTCACTCTCCCTTGGAGGAAATCTCTTAACCATCTCATACCTCAGCGTTTACATCTGTAAAGGGGGTGTAGAAACCTTTGCTACATCATTCCCAAGGTCACTGTGCTATCCTTTCTCTGAGGAATACTGTACAAATAGCAGAGTACCGTAATGCCCCTGGTCACACGAAGTCTCCTCTTGTCAGAGAAAAGCCTCTTGTCAGCCTCTCTAGGGTAAATACAGCTTCCTCCTGAATCTCGTAGGCAAGGATTTCTTGGTTATACACTCCAGCTCACTTACAAAAGAGATCACATTTGAGGAGTATGGCGAAAGAACGCAGGAGTATCTCACATCATGGCAAGTCAGAGGACTGAGTTCCCCTACGGCCTCTCAGGAATGCAGAGGCAGGAGCTCGGAGTCTCTGGGAGGCGCCGCATGGTCTGGCTTAGCTTCCTGGGCTTGTGCACCCAGGTGTGGTGATCCACAGCTAGCTGGACCAGCAGAGAGTGGCTTATATCTGAATCCCAGTCCCACATCCCCAAGATGGCTCAGCTTGAGTCGGGGATCATGGATAATCTACTCCGAGCATGGCTGTGGGAACCCACCTGCAGGAACGGAAGAGGGCTATGAATATTATAATTTTAAAATTATATGCATGTCTATGCCTCTCTGCATTCAGAGTCACTGTACACACAGAGCAGAAAATGTGAATCATTGCAAAGGGCACTCAGTGTCAAGTACATGTATCTGCTGATAGGACTACAAGATACTTTCCTCAAAGCAGAATTACTGGTCGTAGGGCTTGTGCATTTTTTTTTTTAAGATTTTTTTTTTTTTTTTTATTTGACAGATCACAAGTAGGCAGAGAGAGGAGGAAGCAGGCTCCCCACTGAGCAGAGAGCCCAATGCTGGGCTTGATCCCAGGACCCTGGGATCATGACCTGTGCCGAAGGCAGAGGCTTTAACCCACTGAGCCACCCAGGTGCCCCGTGCATCTTTAAGTATTACTTCCCATTTCCTCCCCAAATGGTTGTACTAGTTTTACTCTTACAAAGAAATACCTAGGTCTCTGTGTGTCCTTTTTGGTGTGTTTTTAGGGATTCTCCCTGAATGGAGGACATTAGTACTATTCTGGTCACATGTCCTGCAAATACTTTTATCCCCCAACTTTGACTTGGTGCATTTTTGCTAGGGAGAAATTTTTCAATTTAATAATGTAAAGTTTTTCCATCCTTTATGGTTTTCTAGAAGCCTTGAGGCTTATCATAGGCTTAGAAAGGTATTTTGTGCCATGAAATACTAAAGCAATTCTCTTGTGTTTGTGTTTTCATCAGTACCTTTTGGTTGGTTGACCGGTCCGTTGAAATCCTGTATTGCTTTAGATTTCTTCCGCGTGTGGTCAGGTAGGAGCTGACCCCTGGAGAAGGTTGTTGAGTTACCTGTCATTAGTGACTAAGCCATCTTCCTCCTCTAATTTGAATGCTTCATCTATTGTATGTAAAACTTCTTCATGTATATTTGTCTATCCCTACCTCTAGTGGGGCCACCCTCTCCTGCCACTCATCCTTCAGGGTTTCCTGGATATTCTTTTTTTTTTTTTTTTAAAGTTTTTATTTATTTATTTAACGAATATAAAGGAAAAGTAGGAGGAGAGGCAGGCAGAGAGAGAGAGAGAGGAGGAAGCAGGCTCCCCGAGGAGCAGAGAGCCCGATATGGGGCTCGATCCCAGGACCCTGAGATCATGACCTGAGCTGAAGGCAGAGGCTTAACCCACTGAGCCACACAGGCGCCCCTTTCCTGGATATTCTTATGCTTATTGTTATGGGTCTTAGTAATCTAGGGAGAATTGATAGCTAGGTAATATTGAATCCTTTGACTCTAGGACAGCATCTGTCAATCAACGGAGGTACATTTTTAAGTTTTGTTCTCCCAGATACTATACTTCCCTTGTATATATCTTCCTTGTAAACGAAAATTTTTTTTTTTTCCTATTGTAGTCCCTTGCTGGGGGTTGTTTCAGGATTAATTTTCTTCACAGCCACCTTACTAAATTTTCCTGTTGTTGGTAATAATTATTCTGGTTGGTTTCCTTTGATTTTTTCCAGGTGTGCCATCGTATCCTCTGCAAAGTGATCATTTTTTTCTTTTTCTATCTCCTTTCTCTTTTCTCCTCCTGGCAGCTGCTACTTCCAAATCAGTGTTGACTAACAGCCTTGTTGTTATCCTAACAAATACCTGGGTCATGCAGTACTGGGTACGAAGATGGCTTTGGGCTTGAGTTCATACAACCTCATGTGTCTGTAGCCAGAGTTCAGGTTTAACCTGAATAAGTAAGCTAAGCCTTATGCTAGCATCTCCCTCAGAGCTATGAGTGCCAGGACCTTGAGAAGAAGGCTGCTGTCCTTAACATGGGACAGATGTGGTTACCATGCCATGTGGATGTCCCTGGCTGGGCCAGCCTTTGAGCAATGGCTGAAGGAGGCCAGAACCCTCCTCACATGGCACACAGGAGAAGCTGAATCAAGGACAATTGTCCGTTCATTATAGTTCCTTTTTTGTTTCTCATTGTGGCATTTCCCTCTCTTTTTTTGGTTGGGTTCCCACTGCCTCCCTCCTTGACCCAGAACTCACATTTCTTCATTATTTCCTATTGATTAATATATGTATTCAAGGCTGAAATTCTCTCCAAGGCACTCTTTTAGCTATAGACTGTAGGTATTCCATACGTGGTATTTTTGTTAGGATAAATGTGTAGATAATCTACAGTTAAGGCTGAGTCCCTCTCAGGCCCCAGAAAGTTTGGGAGCATACTTTATAATTCTCCATGCGGTAGTATTATTTGTTGTCTGGCTTTGATGTTTTTTAGTGTTCTGTTTGGGTTTTAGAACTTTTTTTTCAAAAATTCTCACTGGAATTATACCCTGTAAAAAAACAATTTTTTTTTTTTTTTTTTTTTTTTAAGTACAGAAAGAAAGGTGCTAAGTAGAACTTCCTGGAGCCAGAGTTTGTTATACTGCTATCTTTAAACATGATTCTCCCAGTACTGGGTTTAGCTGTACAATAATGGAAACCATTTCCTAGGACATGTCTTAGTTTGGCTCAGTCTATTTGTAGCCCTTTTCCTGGGGACATGTCATGCATTTTTATGCTGTGGGATTAAAACTTGGGTTTCATTTGATTAGTCTTCTTGAAGGAGCATCAGTAACCTGGATGTTGAGCCTGAGTTCTGCTGCTTCAGATACAACCTTCATTCCTTTCAGTGTTTAATTCTGTCCTTGAGTCTTTGTATCTGCGTTGAGCTCTGGTCTCACAGTGTCTTTTTCACAAGCGTCCTTGCCCACTTGGAGGAGTCTTTAGTAACTTGTCATCTGCTCAGCAGCCAACGTTTTTTCTGTTAGAATTCTTTATCTGGAGTTTGGTCTAACTCTTCACTGTTTTTCTCACAGCAGTTTCTTGTATGTCTCAGCCTGATTCATGTTTCCTTGCTGAAAAAGAAGCAGAATTTTTACAATTGCCATGGGACAGTTTGAGGAACTGACACGGTGTTATGTGAATGAAGGTGACTTGTACTGTCTTGGAATAGTCTTCCAAATGCCCTGTGGTTTCACACAGAGATGACCCTTTCCAGTTGCAAAATAGGAATAATAATGGTACCTACTTTGTGGGATTGTTGTAAAGATTAAGACAAAATTCTAGAACATTTTCTGGTACCCATGTCCTAGTAAATGCTACCTTTCATCTTCAAAGATGGAATTTATTTCCCTTTTCCTTGTTTTCAGTTGGCATCTTTCTCCAATACTCAGAAAGCGCCTTAACCCCAGAAGTAACCAGATTTTATTAGCTTTTCTCAAGGAACAAGCAGCAAGATGGTGTGGTGTGCAATGCACAGGCTAACAGATGTAAAGAGGTACTCGGGTACTTACTACAGGTCCCAAACTTACTTGGACAGAAGTAGTGTAGGGCCCTTGAGCACAGAGCAGAACCTTGTCAAGCCACAGGGTGTGCATGGCCAAGTCATGGTAACACTCAGTATGGGTGCAGCCATATTCCTTTAAGCTCAGAACAGAGTCAGGTCTCCAGACTGGAGAACCGCACACTCCCATAGGCCCTACTTAGCCATGTGGCTCCCACTGTATCAGTCCTTCACCACAACAGGCGTTTCATAATTGAGGACTTGGAGGCTGAGAGAGATTTGCCCAAAGCATTCCACTGTGAGGTGGCAGAGCTGAGAATTAAGGTCTTCCTTTTCTCTGCCTCTCTGCGTATCTCGGATAGCTTCAGAGTTGGCCCTTGAGGCCCGTGTTGTCCTATCCTGGGGTAATGAGCCAGAAAATCTAAAGTAGCCATTCTAATCCTCTTTCTGTCCTACAGCAAGGCCTGGGGTACATCAAGTATTTGTCACCTTCCCTCTGGTTCGCGGCTCCTGTGTTGCATTCAGAACATTTAACCACTAGGAAGCTTGGATCCTGGTTCTCAGCTGACTAAAATGTCTATTGCCAGATCACCTAGTTGGCACCTGGCATTTGCTTCAGTTGAAGGTGGGCAGAAAAATTAGTATACAATGCAGGTAGCCCCCAAATACTATTTAAGTACCTCACAGTGTAAGATTTTTTCTTTTTTAATTAGTAACACTAATGGCCTGAATTTGTTTTGCTGTATAATAACAGCATATGGAGTAATTCCAGTCCCAGGTGTGTCATTGTGTACATTTCACATCAAGGGTGGAGCCAATCATTAGAGATTATGTCCCCACACCATCTGGAAACTGACTTTCATAAATTATTTTTTAGGTCTCCCTTGCCAGAATGAAATGAACAGGATTCAGAAGCTGAGCAAGGGGAAAAGCCTGCTGGGTAAGTACAATTTCATGTCACTCGTTTAAACAACTAATTAAACCATCCATGTCTCTTGTAATATTGAGCCACAGCAATGGTTATTCAATTAGGTACCTGCGTTTCCTGAAAGAAACGCACCCCTTCATCCCCAGACAGCTGGCCAGAGGTAAGTTGAGGCGAGGGAGCTCGTTGAGAAACGCTGCCTCCTCCCTTAGCGGGGGGACTAGTGGGCGGGGCCGCAGCACCATGGCTACCTCCAACTCCTCCCTGATGTGGTCTGGAAATTCCGGAATTACTCCCCAGATTAAGTTGTCTGTGGAAGGAGGAAGATGAGCTGGGCCCTTTTCTGGTTCAAAGACTTTAGTGTGCTTAAATGCATTTCTTGGTTTCGCCCGCATAATAATCCGTAGAGGAAAGCATAAGGCTCTTCAGACAGTGTACATTTCTCTGTCTGAATGTTAACCGTGTTTTTTTCCTGGACCTGCCAAGCTGGGGCTGAGGTAAAGGTAGCAAAGGCCGGCTTGTCGAGGTGTCCCTTGCAGCCGCATGTCCTCCTCCTCCAGCACTCAAGGGGCCTCCTGGCAGAGAGTGGTAAGGCTCATTTGTTGGCCGAAAAAGGAGTCTGTGTTGCTTTACTTGCTTTTTAAAAAGAGAACTGACAGCTGTAGTACAGGAATTCAGAATTATTCTTGTTAGGCCGTAAGCAGCAGGTGCCTTGCCTCAGCAGCTTGCTGTTTCAGACGTGTACCTATTTACTGGAAGGAAACGGGCCAAGTTTGCTGCAGCTTGTCAGAAGTAGGCTGTCTGTGAACTCTGGCGGGTTCTCCTCCACTGCTTCTTGGGTCACCTCAGAATACCTAGCTACTCCTTCATTCTTTTGAAAGGTATTCACTGGCTTGCTCAGATGTCCCGCTTCTGATAATGCCTGCTGTTCAACTCGGAAAGATCCCCGAAGTTGTAATTCTGACCTGGGTGGACCCAGGTTCTAAAAAGACAAAGGCATCTTTCTGGGGTGAAGGCCAATGGCTGGTTCCCTCATTCCGTAGATATTTCCAGCGCGAGGCCTTGTGCTCACCTACGTGATGTCTCCATGCTGGCGAGTATTTGGGATTTGAGTTTTGTACCTAAGGTGCACAGGTATAGCATAGTATAAATCTATTTTTTAAATTTTATTTTCATTGGCTATGGATATCCTCTGAGTGCTTTGTTATTTAATAATGAGACATTTATAAGTTATGGAGTCTGAGATAAAATGTCTCATCTTCTGTCTTCCCTACAAAGTGCCTATCTTTGTCCTATCATGAATCCCACCTAGTTCTAAAGCTTACTTTATCACATCTCCCCACATATAGAGATTATTCTGGCTGACTCCTAAAAAACACCATTGACCTTCTTGTACCTTATTTTTTTCATAGGGAAATCTCCTAATATAATACATGTGTTTTCAGGGGCATTTGAATTTAAAAAACAACCTCCCATCAGTTATAGTTACTGCCTCCTTAGGAAGAATGGTAATTCTATTACCTCATTGATTTAGAGCAACACCTCCTTCTTACCAGCCTGGAGGCTAAGCCCAGGATCTGGTTTTCTTTTTTTGTCTATCAAGTGCTGTTGTTTTCCAGTGGCAGCACTAGGAGAGGGGTCAGCATTTCTCCAGCTTTCTAGTAGGTCTTCTCCTTTGCAGACCTTGATTGAGAATCTGTTCACAAATCTCTCTGCCTTCTGGTCATGGGAATCATATCTTGTTTTTGTTTTTCCTTTTCTGTCCTCCTGCTGTGCACTGGTGGAGATTTTGAGTGTGTGGGTACCAGCAGACTTACGTATTCTTTAGGATGGTTCTCTGTGGTTATCTATTTGATCTCTGAGAGCCTGGTCATCTTAGAATAGCCTGGTGACCAGGGTGTTAAAGAGTTGTTGCCACAATCAGCAGGATCTGAGGTTAAATCCAGTTCAAAAGAGTAAAACCATTGCTTCCCATGCTACACTTCCTTCTGGAGTCTATCACTTGAAATAAATTAAGGAGCAGAAGGCCAGAGAGGTAAGCAAACACTTTGCCTTCACACCAGTGTTATTACTCTGGTCACATTCAGTAGTATTTTCCCCATAGAAGAGAAGTATGCAATTATGAAACACACACACTCTAAGAAAAACCAAAACAGAAACGGAGCATTCAAGTGTGAGGACAGAGGTATTCTCAAACCGTAAGTTAAGTTTACTAACCCCAGACTTACTGAAATGCCACCAAAGGATTTACTCTATGGAAATGAAACAATCCCAGAAGGAATTATTTAGATCCAGTTGTGGAGAAGAAATAAGACATGCTGCTATTGACCTATAGAAATGTTCTAGAGCAAGAATGAGAATTTCAGACTGTTGGGGGGCAGTGAGGATAAAAGGTGGTAAGCTTCTAGTTTATTCTGGAAGAAAAGAAAACCTAGGTTAACTTGAGCTCTTATTGTTGAATTTCCCACAGAGAAAGAGAGGCATAACAATACTGGAAATAGACTATAGAGTTGTTAAACCTATAGAAGAAAAAGAAGAACATGTGTATCTGTAATCACAAGAAATGTAAATGGACCAAAACTCATTATGAGACCAATTTTTACTTTTAGAGGTAAAGGTAAAACCATCACACTAGAAGCTGAAACTAAAAGATACTAAAGACTCCTTTTCATAAAAATCTGATCTAGCAAATGCTTTGTCTTGAATTCTATAAACAATTCTATAAACAAAGAGGTGCCGAAATGTTCCTTTTTCTTTCACCATATTATAGTATGCTTGCAACTTTAAAACAAAAGAGAATTAGAAGAAGGAATCATCACACCTACAATTGTTATCAGACATATACCTCTTGAAACTTAGCTCAGGTAGACAGAAGAAATGAATAACCTGATTAATTAGCATTCATATATATGTATTCCTGTACATAATCAGGAAATGTATTGTCTTTTCAAACACAATAGAGTATTTGCTTTGGATTATGCCACCAAAGAAAACTAAACAATCCCCCAAACCCCACACCTGGAGGGGGCAGGGGGAGAATATAATAAAAAAAAAAGTACAATAAAACAATTAGAAGTAAAAGAAAATGAAAATTTTGTGTACCAAAATCAGAGGGAAGCAACTAAAGTGAAACTTACCTTCAAATGCATTAAAAAAAATAGTAAAAGTTCTAATTAGCAAAGCTTTATAGGAATATTATGAAGTGAAACAATCAAGACTAATGTAGAAAACCATGAAATAGACAACTCTTTGGCAATTGGAAAGGTTCAAATACTGTTTTGAATTTATAAGTGGGAATTTAACTTCAGATATAAGACGCTGTTATAAACTTGTGACTTTCAAATTTCAGCATGTATTAGAACACTTGGAGGGCTTATATTTTTATATATACAAATATATATTTATTGTATTTTATTTATATTTTATATATATGTATGTATATATATGTATGTGTGTGTGTATATATATATATATATATATATATATATATATACATATACACAAACACACACACACACACATTATTATAATATTATTTCTAGGCCCTTTTCTCAAAGTATCTGATTCAGCAGACCTGGGGTGGGGCTCACATACTTGCTTTTTTCTAAGATGTTTCCAGGTGTAAACCAAACTCAGACGTACATTAAAAGTATAATTTCCATGATCAAATGGGATTTAACCCTGAGATGAAAGGATGGTTCAAAATACATCATAGTAATAGATCTGGTATCTTAACAGACACAGAAAATACATTTGACAAAATTCAACATCAATTTTTGACTTTGAACACAAATTAGATATAAAAAGAACAAACCTCAACATAGTAAACACCACATACAACAACCAACATCATACCCAATGGTGAAGGGCTGAAAGCTTTTCCTCTAAGATCAAGACTAAGACAAAACTACCCACTCTTAACACTCTTATTCAGCATAGTACTGCAAGTCCTAGCCAGTACAGTCAGGCAAGAAGAAGAAACAAACGGCATCCAAGTTGGAAAGGAAGAAGTAAGATTTTCTTTGTTTGTAGCTGCTGTGTTTTAACCAACGAAGTGAAAGATCTATACACTGAAAACTATCTGACACTGGTGAAATAAATCAAAGAAAACACAAACTAAAAGGAATCCCATGTTCATGGATTAGAAGAATTAATACTGTTAAAATATCCATATGACCCAAAGCTGTCTACAAATTCATTGCTATACCTACGAAAAGTCCAGTGGAATTTTTTGCAGAAGTAGAAATAACAATCCTAAAATCCATACAGAACCACAAAAGACCTCAAATAGCGAAAGCAGTCCTGAGAAAGGAGAACAAAGTAGGAGACATCACATTTCCTGATTTCAAGCAAATTATCAAGATATAGTTACCAAAATGCCATGGTGGCATCAAAACAGAAAGATCAAGGAAACAGAATCAAGAGCCCCAAAGTAAATTCATGTATATAAGGTCAACTTAGACTTAGTAAAGGAGCCAAGAATACTCGCTGGAGAAAAGACAATCTCTTCAATAAATGGTGCTAGGAAAATTGAATGTATATAAAAGATTGAAACTAGATCTCAATTTTTATGAGTGGTAGAAGATAAACTCCAAATGGATTAAAGACTTAAATGTAAGAATGGAAACCATAAAACTCTGAAAAGTAAACATAGGGGAAAAGCTCTTGGACATGGGCCTCAGCAATGATTTTTTGGATGGGTCACCAAAAGCACAAACAATAAAAAATTACAGAAGCTTCTGCACAGCAGAATTATCACTAAAATTAAAACCTACAGAATGAGAAAAGGATATTTGCAAACCATGTATCTGACAAGGGCTTAAAGAACTCACACAATTCAATAGCAAAGAAAAATCTGATTTAAAGATGGGGAGAATATCTGAATAGACATTATTTTTTTAAAGATTCATTTATTTACTTGAGAGAAAGAGAGTAGGAGGAGGGGCAGAGGGAGAGAACCTTTAAGCAGACTCTCTACTTAGCACAGAGCCTGATTTGGACTTGATTTCACCACCCATGAGATCATGACCTGAGCGGAAACCAAGAATAGGACACTTAACCAACTGAGCCACCCAAGTACCCCAGAATGGACAACATGCAGATGGCCAACAGTTACAACAAAAGATGCTCTTCATCATTAATCACTAGGGAAATGCAAACCAAAACCACAATGAGATAACCACCTCACACCTGTCACAGTGGCTATCATCAAAGCAACAACAGACAACAAATATTGGTGAGGTCACAGAGAAAAGGGAAGCCTAGTGTGCTGTTGATGCAAATGCAAACTGCTACAGCCACTATGGAAAGGAGTATGGAGGGTCATCAAAACATTTAAAATAGAACTACCCTGTAACCGAGCAATTCCACTTCTCAGAATATATCCCAAGGAAATATCATATCAAAGAGATATCTGCACTCCCGTGTTCATGGCAGCATTATTTATAATAGCCAAGAAATGGCAACAACTTAGGGGTCTACCGACAGATCACTGAATAACTAGTGTACGTGTACACAATAGAATATTATACACCATAAAAAGAAGGAAGTCCTGCCAATTGTGACAACATGGAATGAGCTGGAGGACAAGATGCTAAGTGAAGTAAGTCAGACGAATAGCGTACAATCTCACCTATATGTGGAACCTAAAACAACTCCTAGGAAAGGACGTCAGACTGGTGGTTACCGTAGGTAGGGAGAATTGGAGGAAGGTGGTCAAAAGGTACACACTTCCAGTTACAAGTTAGGACTAGGAATTTAATGTACGGCGTGAGGACTATAGTCACCACTGCTGTGGTACATATTAAAGTTGTCAGTAGCAAATCCTAAGAGTTCTCATCATATAGAAAAGATGGATGTTAATTAACTTGACTGCAGTAATCACCTCACAGAGTACATAAGTCAAGTTTTGCTGTACACTGGACATTCCGCAGTGCTCCATCTCAATCCTGTCTCCATAAGACTGGGAAACTCTTAAGAAATTACCAGCATTTTAAAGGGAAAAATAAAAACTCAACCACGAAGGGATCCTTTCTCACCTTGAGCCCATCCAGGACCCTGTAAATCTTGACAAAGCAATAACCAGCTGCTCCATTCCCCCTGCTAGCTCTGCTGGATATCCCGTCTGATGTGTTAAGCCCTCTTTTCTCTCTTGGGGGCCATTAACCCTGAGTTTCTGAGCACGTGTATTCAGTTTGGACTTTGTCTTCCCTCAGGAGTGTTCATCCCTCGGTGTAACGAGGAGGGCTATTACAAAGCCACACAGTGCCACGGCAGCACAGGCCAGTGCTGGTGTGTGGATAAATATGGCAACGAGCTGGCTGGCTCCAGGAAACAGGGCGCCGTGAGCTGTGGTGAGTAGGGCCTTCTGCGTCAGCCCCACAGTGACCTCTGTTGACTGGCAGGTCTTGACTGTATGAAGATCTGGGTAGAGAAATCTCGAGACCTGTCTGTGGTCTAGAGTGAACAGTTGTGTCTTATTTTAAGATTTTATTTATTTAATTGAAAGAGAGAGATGCAGTGGGAGTGGGAAAGGGAGAAGCAGGCTCCTTGCTGATTAGGGAGCCTGATGTGGGATTTGATCCCAGGACCCCAGGATCATGACCTGAGCTGAAGGCAGAGGCTTAATGACTGAGCCACCCAGGCACCCCTACAGTGAACAAGTTTACAGTGCAGACACAAGAACCCTGAAATCACATGAGATTAGGCATAGCTAGCTTTCTGAGGGGTAGGGACTCACCGTGACCAGGGAACTGGATCACATTTTTTGACAGTGCGCAACTTCACTAAACCCCCAGGGTTCTCCCCAAGAAGGCAGAAGCATCTCCGGACCTCTGGGGCTCACAAAGCTTGTGGCCCATGCCATGTCAACTAACCCCATCCACGCAGAGATGATCCAATATTCAGAGAGTAAACTGCGTGGTTTCTCCCTATGCTTACGTTGCATGAAAAGGACCCACAGCAAGTAACCTCTCATCTCTCCTTTCGTCTTCTCATTTCAGAAGAGGAGCAGGAGACCTCAGGGGATTTTGGCAGTGGCGGCGCTGTGGTCCTGCTGGATGACCTGGAGGACGAGCGGGAGCTGGGACCAAAGGACAGATCCGGGAAGCTGAGGGTGCACACCCGGGCAGTGACAGAGGATGACGAGGATGAGGACGACGACAAAGAGGACGAGGTGGGCTACATCTGGTAGTCCCCACGAGGAAGAGGACACGAGGTTTGCACCGACCGGCAAGTCACTTCCTACTCTGGCATTTGTATCTAAGACCCCACAGCACCAAGGCCTCTTCTCCATTGTTGCTCTCTGTACCCGACCTGAGGTTTGGAAGACCGCTCCTTGTCCCCCGAACATTCTGGTCTTGCATACAGTTGTGTGGGAAGAAGGGTGTTGTGTCCTGTTTTTATTTAGACAGGGGAGCGGCTGGCTGAGCTGGAGCCTCCTTCCCTCCCGTGAGAGTTGTACAACGCGCATGTGAAGTTTGTGGGATTCTGACCGTGCAGGGAGCCCCCACCTTGTAAACGTCCAAGATGCTTTTCGATTACCCACACCAGTGGTCATTCCAGCATGGTTCCCAGCCTTACGGTGTCTAAGTGCTTTTCTTGTGTCCTGTAGATGTCGTGGAAAACACACCACACTGTACTTCCTTCTGCCCTATCCCCACCACCCCTCGTGGTAATAATTAAAAATTCGTTTTTCATATCACTCTATCTGGCTTCCTACAAACAACAGCCTTAATTCAGTCAAGAGTTCCTTCGGGGAATTGATTTTCCTTATGAACAAGGGTGTCTGGATGCTTCTCTGTACATGCCTAAGGATATTTGTATGTACAGAGTAGACTGTCTATGTGTACAAGACACACACACACACACACACCACTCAGAAAAAGCGCTTCAGTATCTTTTCGAAACTCATTTGAAACACAATTATAAATTTGTCAGCTTGTCCAGACCTGGATCACAATTTCTGGAATAAGAAATGTAGATCAGAAGTACTTTTTTTGCACTAAGAGTTAGCACTTGTAGCCTGCAGGCTGAGGAGGTTCCTTTCCCTATGCATTAGGAGAGTTACTGGAAGCCCTTTGATTTGGATAAGCCTCTGTCCGCCTAAATCACTTTCCTTGCAGAAGCCATGAGACTCCCACATGGGCAACTTCACAAGCCATCTTTTTCATTTCGGCTCAAAGCTTCCCTTCCCCTCCTCCCCAGGGCTGCAGCAATCCTGTCTGCCATGGGTTCCTACCTTCCCTACCGACGCAAGGGCTTTTCCCAAGGCACGGATACATGTCCCCTGCTCCCCGAGAAGACAATACCACAGTGTTCCTTATCAGAAGAAAATTCAGGATTCTTAACCTCATTTTTTGCTTTTGCCCCATTTCTACCCACAAATCATAGCAAGGGTACACAAGCTGTACAGATTTTATACCACTCATCATTATTAAAAAGAAAAAAATCCCAAAGGGAGGCCACAAAGAACTTCATCATAGCACCTGGAAACTAGGGTTGGATCTTTAAGAGCTACTCCTTCCCCCATCCCCACACCTGCACCAGTGTCAAGAGGCTGACGAAGCAAGCTGTCCACCAGCGTTTCTTTTCCCTAAGTCAGCTCACGATTACAGCCTGTCTCCAAATTTGGTAGGGTCAACCTCTCTATCGTTTCAAGGATTTCTGCCCCCATCAAGCTGGCTCAGATCGAAGTACCAAAGACTAGTCTTCAAAGTGGCCCCATTTAGTTCAGTACCTCAGACCCTTACGCCCCTGCCCCACCTGGTTTCCAAGTACCTGGTGACCCTCATCAACGCCTCCCCGCCAAGGCTCTGTGGCCCGCATTGGTTTATCTTCCTTTCCTCCTGAGCTCCAACCCATCCACAAGACAACCACGTAAACTCAGGCAAAAAATACACTCAGCCGAACCATGGTCATGGCGGTAGCTGACCACCCCCCCGCCCCCCACCTCAAATGGACCATTTCTTTGTACTTTACCAAGCTGCCTTCAAACCAGCATTTTCCAACCCTAGCATTGGCCACAGTGGCATCGTTCCTAGACTTAGTCTCAGAAGGGAAATGAACATACGTGATACAACCAACTTCTTCGGCCTGGGAGATACGGGTACCACCAGGACCCTCGCTAGAGCGAGAACAGAGGCGAGTTCTGTATTGGTATGGCAGCTCCATCACCTCTCTTTCAATTGTTTTCCCTCACTTGAACAAAACACTGAGGTGGTAATTCAGAAAACAGGTGCTTAATTGCAGCTAGATTCTAATAGAGTGTATACAAGAATCAAGACATATTAAAAAAATTCAGTTTAGACCATTAAAGAAAACCATCGTTACTGTCTCCTCTGAGCTTAGAAAAACGCACAAGAGAACAAATTAAAAGCGACAAATTGCTTTCACTTAGAAAAACTTCCAGGAACAGAGAACCACTGATTCTAATTTGCCTAATTATCTTATGACAAGTGTCAAATTAAGATGACACTTAAAGATTCTTAGCATTAACTTAACGATGGAGAAGAGTGGGCTCAGCAGTCAGTTCCCAGTAAGGTAACGAGATGCTTGTTTTCAAAGATATTCCAAGAAGATGTTTTGATTCATTAAAATAGTAAATAAAAAGCCCTCCTAAGACTGGGACCCCAAATCAATGGAGCAACATTAACACCACTTTGCATGCCTCACTTTGGCGTGACAGATTTTTAAAGGGCTTTGCTGCTTTTCACAAGTACTAAACATTCGATTTTCTAGTTACCTTATCCTTAGAGGTAGAATTTGTGATTTCCTCTTTTTGGGCAGGAGTCCTTTTGCTAGTGACTAAGTATACATAAAAATCTTGATTAAACAAAAATAATACCGTGATAATCCAGTCCCTTTTTTTGAGACAGGTATTGAACTGAATCCTCACTCACTCATTTCTGCGTGCACTCTACTAAATAGCTTTATTCTTATTCCACACATGGTTCTTTTATTTAATACTGTTGCCTCAGCATCGACCCAAATCCCAGAATTTTCTTCCACCATGGTTAGTTGTCTGCCATATTGATGTCTTTTTGATTCCACAGATATTCTAGGCATGGGAATACCTTACTACTCAACCTGAGATTTTGTTACCAGTTTTCCCTTCTTTATACCCATTTCCCCATGCCCAGTAGTAAATGACTAAGTGTCTGTCCAGGTCTGCCCCCTCTACTTTTCCCAGAATGCCATTCACACTTTTTTTTTTCCACCTTGACCACATTGTACAGTAACATCTAACATCTAAGAGCCCTTTCTACAGTGGGTGGTTTTGGTCTTTTTATACCTTTTTCTCAAAGTCACTGATGTTTGTCCCTGTTCAATGTGTAGCATTGTAATGAGAGCCCACCAAATCCTGAGTGTCATTTTGTTGTCCCTATTGTAGATGAAATAGTGATGTAGAAAAAAATCTAGTAAATTCTGAATGCTTTTCCACGTAGACTTCTCTGGAATGTGAACACGACTCTTTGGTTAATAGTAAATGCTTAACTGTAGTCCTGAGTAGGTGCATTTCTGTCTGTCTCAATAAATTTTGATTTGTCTGCAACATCTGAGTGTGTGTATTTTCTCAGCTTGCATGTCTTCTCACCGAGCCGTGGCCATGCTCAGTCTCTGGAGGACAAACAGCATGGGCAGACGGGGGCTGCTGTACATGGCAGAGGAGGTAGACCAGTTGGCAGTCCAGCCTGCCCTGGCCCCTCTCAGTGCACCCTGTGCCCACACAGTCTAGAACCACATCTCCTAATCCCTATGTTTGCAGCTTTTCCACTTTGTTACTTCATTTTTACCTATCAGATTTCAGTGTTGTCATCGTGCTGACAACCTTAAACTTTTCCAGTTCTGCCTATTCTTTTCCTCCCATTAGTTATTCTCCAATTCTCCCAAAGAAAGGAAAAAGAAAAGAAAAAAGAGAAAGAAAGAAATTCTTCTTTACAGGGGATTCTGACTTTTCTTCAGTTCATGGATTAACATACCAGAGGCTTGTCAAACATCAGAAAGCACCCAAATTGGAACAGGACTTATTTCCTTTCCAGCTTTATCCACATTTGGGCCAGTGTGCCTATGACTTAATTATACCCTGAGTAATTTTGCCAAAAGCTAAGGTAGACACTGTCTTATGAATAATTCTGTAGACTTTACAGACAATCTGTGGATTGACAATTCAGGGAAAGGTGCTTCACAGGTCCACAAAATAACTAATGTTAGCAGAACAATGACCAATACGAACCCTCCAGGGTAGTTTCAGGACCCATTAAGGGAAAGTTGGCATTTGTGGATACTCTCCAAATCCATCTCAAATCAGCACCATTGTGCAGGTCAGCTACCATACTTCTCCTCCAGCTGTGACTTCACGGATGCCACGGGGGTTCGTTTAAAGATCAAGCCCAAACGAAGGAATGCTGAGCCAGAGCTCCAGCTTTGGTAATACACGGTAAGCAAGAAGGTCATTGCCCCTTCTCTTACAAGGCTCACTCATTTGTATGATTTATGTGGACAAACTGATTCAAGGAAAGGGGAAGATTTTAAAGTGTATTCACTCTGCAAGCCTTTATAGATTTATAAGTGAATATGTGTTGGAGTGACGCATGCCGCTGTGGGCAGGCCCCACACTGACTTCTAGGAGTACTGGTGTAAGTAAAATGTGGTTGCTGCTCTGTCAAGTTACCTCCTTGATAACTTCTCTGCCCCACTTCTCTTTGACTTTACCTGATTTCTCTGGACAGTACTATGTATGCCACTGGTTTCAACCATCTTCCCTCCTCTGAGAAGCCCCCAGTCTACAGCTTGAGTGTGCATTTTGACTCCCACTCCATCCAGAAGCATCACCTGCCATTTACATAATTTTACCCGAATTTCCCAATGATATCTCAATTCCAAACCTTAAACAATGAAAATGATAAAATGAAACCTAGTATGAAACTGCCTAAGGCAGCATGAGTCAGCAGGGCTGTTCTAGAAAACACAAGCCATAAAGGCAAGGATTGATCATTTTCTCCCATCAAAATTAATAACATCATAAACAAACTAAAAAGATAAACAAGACACCCAAGAAGATCCTGGTGACATAAAACAGATGAAGGATTAGTACCTAATTTTTTTTTTAAGCTCCTAAATCCCTAAGAGAGAGAGAGCCCAACAGACTAATGGGAAAAGATAAAAATAAGCAACTCACAGCAGACGGACAAATGGCAAGGAAACCATTCCTAACCTCACTGATGATCACACAAACACAAATTAAAACAAGGATCTTTCATTTTTCACTCAAAAAAATGTTGAGTGTTGACGAGAATGTGGCATAAAGAACACCTGCACCCTGTATAGTCAGAACACCCGCAGGGAGGGCAGTTTGGCAACAGCCATTGATATAAGAATATAATCCGTAGGACCCTGTAATTCCACTTCTCGGTAAATACTACTAGACAGGGGAACAGTGCATGATTTACAAAGGACATGGGCATGTATATCCACTACAACATCACTGATAGAACAGGCAAACTGCGACAGAACTCAACATCCATCCATGAGGAACTCTATTCTGGAATATTACGCAACAGTCAAAAAAGAGTGGTGTAACTTCATATGCACAGAGTTAGCAAAACTTCTACAATATCAGTTGTGCGAAGATAAAAGTTTGGGGGTATGTAACATATGGAAGGAAATATCGAAAGTATGGAGAACAGTACAAGGCCTGA